TCCTTCTTGATTTAAGAATTTTTTGATATTTTGGCTGGAAACAAGACAAAAGATCTAAGCTAGAAAAGCATTTTTTTGCAGTGATGCATCTTTTTCACTTTGAAATTTTTTCCAAAATGTCACCAAAATTTCTGTGTGAGTGCATATTCAGCAAGAAAAAGCAACTGGAAAGCAAAGTTATGTGTTACTTTTACATAAGAATGTAACAATTAGTTTTTGGTTACTCAATATTGTAATGCATCGTTCCTTTAGAACTATTATCGATAAAGTCTTTAAAGCAGTCTCCTATAGCAGACGGCCTCCCCTCCCTCTCCTTGTGAAATGTGGACCTGCGAGCTCTGTTGGTCTGTCTTTTCTCACCTCCACTCATTTGGGCCTTGATAAGAACTCTCCAGCTGGGGCTCAGCAGGGCTGCGACGCTTCATCACACAATGTCTTAGTGCGCCGCTCTCATTTACACACGCTCCTATTGGCCCACGGCATCACCCTTGGTTTTTACAAGAAAGGCACTTTTAACCATATGTACACAATACAAATTAAGTTTACCTTGGCCAGCAAGGCTTAAAAGCCAGTGTCCTCAACCCTGCTTTAAAAGAGCTAAATAACTGTGGAGGGTCTAACATCAAACAAGAGAGGAAACCAGGGGGAACGCGAAAGGGGGGATGTCTGACCAGACTTCGAGCCTTCGATACGAAGGGAACAGAAGCTGGGTGCCATGTCATTTAATTAGCGAGAGCGCCTACTCTGTAGTTTGCTTGTGAGTCTCAGTCACGGAAGAATTACATCTCCAGGATGTTTGTCACGGTGTTGTTTGCAACTATGGCCCTACAGGTTGAAATTAAAAGGACATCATTTGCTTATTTTTGTCCATTTAAAGGGCAGAATTACCTTGATGCTTCAAACAAACTAACCGACACAAAGTAGGGTCATGCTGGTCGACTAATCAACGGTTGTCGAAAGTTTTTTCTTTCATTTTGGTTTTTAATGCCAGTGCCAATTAGTATGCTGACACCTCCTCTAAAGCGGTAAATACTATATATTCAGACAGAAATCCTTGGCTTTTGTGTTTGAGATTTTGAGAGTCTGACAATGATCTTTAAGATGACAAATATTTGCAACTTACGCAAAAATGCAACTTTACCTAACAACTGCGTCCAATCAATCCAGTTTAATTATTCAAAGATTCCTTCAAAAATACAGGTAACCAACCAAGGCTCATGGAAAAATATTACTTTGGCTACAATTTAGCAAAATTATATTACGTTGCTTCTTGCACTGTCCATGACTCTTTCAAAGCAAAATGTCCAGTCAGTGGAGCTAAAAGCGTGTTTAATTTGATCCAAAATAGATTAATGTGATTTTGGCAAGTGCAGTGCTGTACTGGGTGAGCTATCAAGCAAGTTTACTGTGTTAGAAAAGCCATACATATGGAGCTGGTTATGTGATACAAACCTCAAAATGTATTAGTGTCACAAATCATGCACTAAATGGTAAGCATTTTGAGGTCATAACATTGTATTGTGCAAAGAATTGTGTGAAAATAAGTCTTTCTTAATTGATAATCTGCCGTGTAATCATAATTTGTGTGAAAAGTAATAAGAGCTGCCGTTAGTGTTCATTTCAGCTGGAAACTGCAGCGACTTGTATCTAAACGTATGTTTTATGTGGGTAGAGATCAGTTTTTCCAATGTTAAAATGAATGGTTAGGCAGCCCACAGACAAACTAATTTTGAAAAAAAGTAATTTTGCATATCATTAACACAATCCTAACTATTTCCAAATCTAGTATAATAAAGTTTAGTATAATTTCCTAAACAGGAAAACATTAATAGCTCTAGTATGTGCACTGAAAGACGATGAAGGCCTCAGCGGTAATGACATCGTGCCCCAGACTCAGAAATCATATGTATCGTCTAACACATATACTGGATTTATAAAGACTGGCATGTGGCAAATGGGGATTGCGGTTTCCATCAGTTTTCCCATCTGCCCCGGCTGTAACCTGTGGGGGATGGCTGGTTATAGCACACTGAGTCGGCTGTCAACCCCCATTTACCGCTGACCCAAGAGCACTACTCACAGTCCCCCCACAGGTCCTCAGGCGGTGAGTTATCTGAACTACAGCAGCTCTGGATCTCTTGTTCCCTAAAGTGAAATGAAATGAAAACACAATTATTTCTATTCTATTTCTAATTAGTCTGCTAAAAAAGAGTAAGCTAGCTATTATAGTTTCTCCTATTAATTTGAACTTGCATAAGTTTTTGAAGTATTTTGTTGACTCGTGATCTGTTTTAGGGATGAATGAAGTGCCATACATTTTAACATGATGAAAAATAACTAGAAAATTTTACAAAACCTTTGTGAATTTTTGTGAAGCTTCGTGACAAAACTCTGTGAATTGCACATAATATCATATCCTAAAATACCGAGAATTAACTACAAATATTTAAAAGTATAGTGTACATTTGTCGGCACCGATGGCCTCGTGGGCAGCGTGCCGATATATAGCGCCTTTGCGCTTCGGGCGTCCCGAGTTTGAGTCCCAGCTTGTGGACCTTTCCCAATCCCACCCCCCTCTCTCTCTCTCTCTGTCACCCACTTTGCCTCCTGTTGACCTACTGTCCTATCTAAATAAAAGGCATAAAACGCCAAAAATAAATCTTTAAAAAAAAAAGTATATTGTATATTTATACAATATATTTTGCTGGATTATTTTTTACAAGAAAATAAAATATACTATTTCAGTTTTTCTACTTCAAAATTTCATTGTCTTACTATTACTGTATTAATTCAATGTCTTGCTATTATTGTACTATTATATGTATTATTATTATTATTAACTTACCGTAACTTATTATTATTGTTAATATTATTATTAGTAGTAGTATTAACATATAATAATATTTAATAATAATAATAATAATGCCTTTATGCATTATCACCAAACCACTGCCTTCATTAGATGTTTTATCAGCGCCCCAAAGGCTTATTTCTTGGTGAGTGTCCCAGGCCAGGACATGCAGGAGATAAAGTCAGGATGTATCTTTAATGCCAGATCATAAATGCCAGCACAGTGGTGCTTCTAGTCTGTATCCATTCCCTAGGTAAACCCACAATGCCACAAGAATCCACATGGCTGGAAGAGTTTAACTAGAAACTGACAGAGTAAAAAGGGAAGTCAACATTGAGCTGAGCTGAACTGTGAACTGGCTGGGGAGGTGTGGAACTCAGCCATAATGTCCCGGGTCAGGTTAAGTGTGTTTTCAGAGGAGGGTTTGTTAATAGAATGTGTTTCAACTCCCACTTATAAGTGTCATTTATAAGCGGGAATAAGCCAAGTAAGCCTATGCTTATTCTTGTGACCTTGAATTAAAACGGAATTTTGTTTATATTATGCAAACATAAAACTATGTTCACAAGATTCCATTAAAAGTTGGACGTCTATTGCAAAATAAGAATCTGGCAACTGATAAACTAAAGTGAGTCTGATTCCCGAACTAATGATTTTTACCAATTAGTTAAAAATGATAAATTACCAGTATGGTAATTCATCTTTTTACCAGTATATATATATATACAGTATATAAGTATATCAATAAGAATTAAAAAAAATTCAGCTTCCCATTATTTCCAACCCTGGCTCCCATACTAAGAAAGATTCTTAAATTCTCCCCTACAAACACCCGAGGGGTCAAGTATGCTGGATTAAACCATCTTTTCAGGTGCTGGCTCTGGTTCTCACATTAGCAGCCTTACATGTCTACAGTATTACCAATTGGATGCCTTTTATGCATACCTTTTTGACATCTTTGTGAGACTGAAATTCAAGTCAGCGAGGGGGGGGGAATGTTAAATTGGCTATGTGAAAAGAAAAACTGCAGCCTAACCACAGAGAAACAAAAACACCCCTTTTAAAGGTAAGTGGATTATGTGCACATGGCATGAGCTTTGTGACAGAACAGAGGTCACTGTTCCTCAGTTGTTCTTTCACCCGCTCTCGCCCCTTTCCCTGGAGAGGAGTGTTTCTCAAGGCAAACCTGTTTGTAGTTACAGGGTTTGTTGTGCTCCTCTGTTTTGTAGGTCAACATGTCCTCCCCCCATTAATTGGTGGCTCGGTGTATCACGCAAGGAGAGTCGCAGCTGCTTCGCATTATACAGGGAGAAATGCTGGTGGAAGCTGGTTATCTCTACTCGGAGCAGGTTCGTATAATGTAGACTGACTTACTGTGCCCCCTCATAGGCTCCTCTAACTGAAAACCACTATACTTCAGCAACTGTGACCAAAGTACAGGTTTTATGTCTATACAAGCAAACAAACACCCTCTATTTTGTATACACAGTGAGGTTGGGTACAGTTTTATGTGCTACCTCTGTCTCGTGAGTGCGTGGGTCTCCAGCGCAGACACCATCGGGATAAGTTAATGCTGCAGTATAGCTGGCCTCACATGATGAGTGATTTACATGCATTTTTTTCCTAATGCCAGGTGCTTTAGGCATAACAAAGACTAGTGCATAAACAACACTATTACTGCTCTGACAGATGTGCATTAGTACAAAACATGTGCATTTTGATTATTAATAAGATCAGCAACCCCTAATGAGAAACTGGTACTTAAGCAATATCACACAAGGAAAAGCAGCATGACTGTGAATGTGATATTGCTTTAATGTTTATACAACAGTTCAATAAACAAGGAATTATTGAGTAACTTGCTTACGCAAGTTACTTTGTCTGCTTTGCTTTACCAACATACTGTAATAGTTCCAAACAAAAGTCACAGATGCACTGTGCATCTTAATTAATTATTCTGTTACTCACTCATAAAAGCAGTCATATGTATCATAAATCAGCATTTTTTAATCCGTTAAATGAATGATTCAGTGACTGATTGTTTTGTTCCTGAAAGCATCAGCGTTTTTAAGGCGATTTGGCTGGGTGAATAATTCAATGACTCAATCATGAATCAGCATTTTTGAATTGGTTAAATGATTCAGTCATTCCCTTAAAGGGGTCATATGATGCTACATGCACTTTTACAAGTTGTTTGAACTGAAATGTGTGTTGGCGGTGTGTACACAACCACACTCAAATGATCAAAATCCACCCAGTGGTTTTTTTAATCTGCTCAAATCTTTCTCAAATTGAGCCAATCTCAGATGCCTGTCTGTGTGACATCACAAAAACAGGCCCCTCCCACGATAGTTTGATTGACAGTAGCGTTTCAGCACAGACTGGACTGGCGTCTTACCTTAGACCCGCCCTGAGTGAGCTGTCATCAGTCCGCCATTGTTTCACCACCAGAGCAGATGTAGACAAGAATGACTCCTAAGCAATTGAGGTGTTCTGTTGTTGGATGTAATAATGAACATAGCAGTCGTCATTTACTCCTGACATCTGAGCCTCTGAAGACGCAGTGGATTACGTTTATTTTTGAAGAGAATGCACCCCCGATCTACATAAATGCATCTATGTTCGCGCGAATCATTCGTGATCCATCTTCACCTACAGAAGAAGTAAGTGTTTTTTTAATGAATCTTTGCAAATCACCTTTCCTAATAATGTGCTAATTAGCACGATGAATGCGGCTAAAGTAAACAGTCCCTCAGAGAGCAGCTCGGAAGAGAGGGGCGGGGTCAGCATTAGCTCATTAACATTTAAAGGAAAATGCTACAAAACTTGACAGGGTAAAAAAGGTGTTTTTTACACTACCATTTAACCAAACTATGTTACAGACTTTTCATTAAGACCCTAAAGAATCATATCAACTTGTGGAAAATGGGCATCCTATGACCCCTTTAAGTCATCTACAATGTAACCTGCAGAAAAAGTCATCAGAAAAATCCCTACCAATAATAAATACACTGTCTAGAAAACAAAAAACACAGACATGCAGAATGCTGCTTCATCAATTAGATTAAAGACCGTAACCATACAATTTGCGGCATGTAAATTTAATCTCAGAATGAAAGGGGAAAAATAACAGGTCTGGTTTAATGTTTTCTTATGTTTTCTCTTAGTAACAGATCGCTGAAAGAACACACACATTGTTCATTTGGCAGGTGAGAATTTACTACTCGCCTGCGGTATCTAAATAGTGTGATTCAGTGTGATCACAGGCACATTAAAACCATCAAACAATATTATGCAATAATAGCCACACAATACGTCTTCAATAAAGTGCATGCCTATCATAGGCCACCTAGCACGTGCACGTGTGAAACAGTATGTGAGTTTGGTACTGCAGCCCTAACAAGCAACAGAACCGCATGAGAAAACAGATCCTCCATCATGCAAGCATCTCCTTTTTGTTGTTTTGTTTTTTGAAATAGTTTGTGATTGACCTCAGCCTCCTGATTTTCTCCTTGTCCTGGGCCTCATATTGAGATTTAGCAAACAGAGAAACTTAGTAAACCCCCTCCTTACTAGTTCTGTGCTTAACCCCGGCCACCTACACTGCCACGGGACGACTCTGCGAAGACCTCGCTCTCAAAAAGGAAATGGGGCAAAACTATCAATTCAAGACACATGTTAGGGAGCGTAGCCTTTTCCCTCAAAATAGAATAACCAATTACCAGTGCAGGAGTGGAAAATGTGAGGTGAAAAGGGCCAAGGAGAATGACATGTTTTTTGTTTTCATTGAAATGTATTGCCAGTGACAGACAATTTCTAACCTTCTCAGCTGCTATCTTAGTTGGCAACCAAAACAAGTCAAAATATTGTAGCAAAAGCTATTGCAATGAAACAGCGATATACTACACAGCCAAAAGTTTGTGGAACAAAAAGGGCAAACCACGGCCTGCAAAAAAATGTTTGACTAAGGAGATTACATGGGTGTATTCTTGATTTTATGCACCTGCTAGTAATGGGTGTAGTCCCAAACATTTCACTAGCAACTATAGTGAGCCGTGACATTAAAGGCAGCAGGCAGGGGAAATAAAACTCTACTTCTATCATGCAGACCTCTCAAAAAAAAAAAAAAGGTCATCGATGAAACACATACAATAATATAATTAAATATTAGTGATTTATGTGATGCTTGATCCCACAGAATGGTGTAGCTACATCATCTACATCATCTACATACAACGTTTTTAACAGTATCACAATGATATCAAACTACATTAATTTACACTAGTGGTTGGGGTCATTTTTTTTAAGGAGTTTAATACTTTTATTTGGAAAGGGTGCATTAACCCCCTGGGGTCTGAGGGTGTTTTGGAGGCCTGGAGAAGTTTTGACATGCTGTGCTTTTTTCAGTTGCTTATAAACATATAAATGGCTAAAGTCTAATAACACTGTAATCAGCACAAACTGGGCTACAATAATATGTGAGCAGCATGTATGTACATGATTGTGTTTTTGAGAAAGCAACGTTTATGCGTGGTTAGTGAAAAACTAACATTTTTAAATCACTTGAATAAGGCCATATAGTGATCAAAAGTGACAGTGAAGACCAAAAGGGTCTGTCTGCAGACTTGCGCTTGTATTCTCAGACTTGCATTCTCAGACTTGCACTCTCAGACTTGCATTCTCAGACTTGCACTCTCAGACACTTGCGCTTCCGCTAGCGACGTCACTTGCAGTCCTTATTTTTTTATTTTGTTCTATTTATTTATTCTTTTTGTTTGAATCTCTCAACATTTTACAACAGTAGCCAGGTGGTGAAGACAAGACAAAAGAAACTAAATTACGAAGTCACTTGCAATCACCACTTGCACTCTGCGATACCTGCGACGTCACTTGCAATCGACACAAATCGTGCGTGTTGCCAATGGAGACAAGACACTGTATTGGTGATTAAAGGGGTCATATGATGCTGCTAAAAAGAACATTATTTTGTGTATTTGGTGTAATGAAATGTGTTTATGCGGTTTAAAGTTAAAAAAACACATTATTTTCCACATACTGTACATTATTGCTTCTCCTCTCTGCCCCGCCTTTTTGAAACGCGTCGATTTTTACAAAGCTCATCGGTCTGAAAAAGCGAGGTGTGCTGTGATTGGCCAGCTATCCAATGCGTTGTGATTGGCCGAATACCTCAAGCGTGAGACGGAAATGTTACGCCCCTCACATACCATATTAAGTGTTTATGTTTTTCTACAGGAGGAAAACGCTTAACAAGAGACTTTGTGCATTGCGTTCATATTCTGCTGTTCTGTAGCCACGGATTTGCGGGTCTTGTCTTTTTCTTGCAGGACCCTGTACGTTACAGTACAAAATTAGTTTTAATCGTTTAATCACCACCACAGCTTCTTGTCTCCATTGGCAACACGCACGATTTGTGTCGATTGCAAGTGACGTCGCAGGTATCGGAGAGTGCAAGTGGCGATTGCAAGTAACATTGTAAGTTAGTTTCTTTTTTCTTGTCTTCACCACCTGGCTACTGTTGTAAAATGTTGAGAGATTCAAACAAAAAGTAATCAATAAATAGAACAAAATAAAAATAAAAAAAGACTGCAAGTGACGTCGCTAGCGGAAGCGCAAGTGTCTGAGAGTGCAAGTCTGAGAGTACAAGTGCAAGGCTGCAGCCAGACCCTTCTCGTGAAGACATTCATAATAAAACACAAGATGAATATTTCAAATGAATGCTGTTCTTTTAAACTTTCTAATTATCAGAAAGTCCTGAAATAAATAAATTGCACAAAATAAAATCACATTTCCCACAAAATATTAAGCAGAACAATGGTTTTCAACTCTGATTATAATGTTTCTTGAGAACCAAATTATACATTATAAGAAATTTTTTTTTTAATTATTATTTTAAATTGTAATATTATTTCACAATAGTACTGTTTTTATTGTGATTTTGATCAAATAAATGCAGCCATAGGAGACTTCTTTCAAAAACATTCAGTTTTAATAATAAAATACATTTGAGATTATTCCTTTAAAACCTTTATTTGAACATTTCTTGCATGGGTTACTTTCAATGACACAAAAGTAAAGCACAAACATACAAAAAAATGAGTCAATAAAATTATGACTGTATTGGAACCTTTGATAACTTTGAAGAATAACATCTGTAACATGAACATAATGTGCATAGGTCATTTTTGTTGGAGTTGCTGAGCAGGAATGAGAAAAATGGCCTCCCATAAGACTGAATTTACCCATTTAACCACAAATTAGTAGCATAACCAGCAGAGAAGAAAATTCAGTGCTAAATCAACATCACCACAGAGAAGGCCAAAAAAAAAATACAAAATCTAATTCTTCGAGTAGCAAAAACAATCCGAGCGAGTGATATGTTGAAGAGAAAGTACTTTTCACACAATGGGCTGCTATAATGGTCAAAACATTCCTAGAAATAGAAAGCATTTGGGATCCTTTCGGGAAGACAACCACAGCAAATATACAAACATGCCAGAGCTACTTTTCAATACATGAACTGATCTGCTTTTTTAATCTATCAAGTGATGGGGAAAAAAATAATAAAATCTTAGCTATCAAGAATAGTTTTAGTGCACCTTTTCCATTCCTTTCTCCCACATAATCATATAATTTCATACAGGTATTCACATGTGGGGTGGGCTATCAATGTGAAGCTCAATGAGCCAATGTCAACCAAACACAATGGAATTCTCACAATGCTGCTCCCATTCCAGTAACCTCAGGGGCACAACTGACAGAAATCAGCCGAGACAGAAGACGAGACGTGACCGCTCTATGAGCACTCACAAACAAATTGAGAGGTTCAGACGAGCAGATACTGTGGGCAGTGAGTTGTGGCCCTTTCCCGCCAAGCGAAGGGGGGTATGGCGTGGTGGTCCAGCTTTCCTCTCATTAGGATTCCTAATTATGGTGACTTGTAGGAGTAGGGCACTCTCCAAACGGCCAGTAACTGGTTATTAGAATATTATTACAAACATGAGAGGTTGGCCCTGGGCGGCTGATTGCCTGCTCACGTGGGAGGTGCAATTTGGCTGGAATGTTCAAGGCAGGGGGGACTTGGAATTGGTTGCCTAGTAATGAGAGCACCATGGCACATTCAGTAATTACCTGGACCAAAGGAAAATGAAGCAGGGGCTCAGATTATATGCCAAATTTGTTTTGATTTCTGTCTCCAATAAGGCGGGGAGAAATTAGCCAAATCCTTAGCCTTAATTCATCCCTCGGTTTGCTTTGGTCTTCTAAAATTGGCCACTGCCTCCCACCTGGAACCAGGTCGTAACCTGCTCCCTCAAAAAAAGAAATGAATTCAAATTAAAATGAACTGGAACAAGATAAATGTGGATTTAAAAGCTATTTGTTCTCTCATTTTATTCTGCTAAACATTATGTTACAAGGGTGTGTGGTGGACATCTGAAATGAGGAAGATGAAGTTCCCTCTCTGGGTTTGGGTTGTTTAGTTATAATCAATATAAATTAATGTTTTAGTTTTATTTGATGTTTAACACAGTGTCTGGGTTTAAAGCTTACCTCACACTGGCAACCAGACTTTAAGGAAAGGAAAGAAAGGAAAGGACGTGTGGCCAAGTATGGTCGAATTTGAATTCGAATTTAACCCATCCAAGTGCACACACACTGCAGTAGTGAACAAACACACATGCACACACTGTGAACACACACCCGGAGCAGTGGGCAACCAATGCTGCGACAATCGGGGAGCAGTTGGGGGTTCTGTGCCTTGCTCAAGGGTATCACCTCAGTCGTGGTATTCCTGCCGGACCTGAGACTCGAACCCGTGTCCTTCAGGTTATAAGTCCGACGCTATATCAATTAGGCCACGACTGCCCCTATAATTTAATATTATCATTTATTTGTATAAATATACAGTACTGACATTCATTAAAAACATCAACTATTTACGATAAACCAAGTGTATATTTTAATTTATGTACATTTTTTACATTCAAAATAATCACTACTATAATACAGTAAAAAAGCGCATTAACTGTGGTCCTTCAGTTAAATTTCGTGTGTTACTTAATATAATATAATATTACTTAATGTTCAAAGGGGTTAGCTCAGGGCTGTCCAAACTCGGTCCTGGAGGGCCGGTGTCCTGCAGAGTTTAGCTCCAACCCTAATTAAACACACCTGAACCAGCTAATCAAGCTCTTACTATTTAGAAACTTCCAGTCAGGTGTGTTGAGGCAAGTTGGAGTTAAACTCTGCAGGACACCGGCCCTCCAGGACCAAGTTTGGACAGCCCTGGGTTAGCTATTTTACGAGCGATTCACGATCAAATGACTCTTATGAACAGACATTTTTAAAGAATCAGATTCAGTTGAGTTCAAAACTCCCTCACTGAATCACGACTCGTCTGTCAGTTTCCACTTCATAACGAATCAGAAATCGTAGCCGTCATAAATACTGTACTTGAGGTTCTGTGAGACTTATATCCATTTACTTGTAAGATTTATATTCACAATACACGTTTGTTCAGTCAATTAATAATGGTATTCTAAATTATTGGTTACTGTTTATCATATTAGGTCCAGATTTTGCCTGTATGTATATAATGTATATAGAGATAATTTGGCTTCTAAATGTTTGATTGTGGGAGCAAATGGTGCAAACAGACTTTTTTTCCCTTGAAGACTTACTGATAAGCAGGCATTACTGCATTTAGACTGCATAGTAGCGATGTGTGGGCACTAGCTTGTCTACTTCAGAGAGAATGCCCCTCATATGTAAGATTCTGCAACGGCCATATTTTACAACCTTGATGTAGTGCATGCAAACATATCACTATTATGTCACAAGTCCCTCATTGAAGCATCCAGCACAAACTGTACAACCACACAGTGTGAGGCAGCACATGAAGACACAAACGCACTCCACTGATTCACAGTGCCAAGATATTAAAGTCTGAGCAGAAAACAGACAGACAGATTCAAGGATTCTAGACTCCTTTAATTTGCTGTTGTTTGTACATTTGTGGAACGTGTAAATGATGTAGAAAGCAGGTGGCTCCAATCATCTGGTCGGCAGCTGTGTCTTTCTGACTCACTTATTATACCTTGACCAGGCACCAGAACATGAATACACGCTTAGACACACATATGGCATGGAGCACAGGCTAAAATTGACAGCTGCTTTCTCAGTCTTACTGTTAAAGTTCAGCAAATGAGCACAGACTACAAGAGTCTTGTCCTCTTGAGATTTAGTTAAAAACAAAAGGGCCAAAAATGGGTTCTCCCTTTTTTCTTCATTACTGGAATCCTACTCACTGCCATTTCTGACAATGCATTGAGCAACTGTTTGACTCACTTACATGCGCTGCAGTTAAATGAATCACAGCTGCAACAAACACTTCTAATTTCACCCAGAAAGCGCTAGATCTTAATCTTTTGTGCTGAATAATGAAAACAAACAACACCGCAAATCTTTTGAATTCATCCTGAGATAAGTGTAAAATAAGACCAGTAATTGCAAATGAAAGCTCTTACCTCATATGACCGTTGCTTGAATTCTTGAATTTTTATAGATGGGTCCACACCCAGACAGTCAATAATGTCAAATTTAATGGGCCGGGACAAAAAGCCAATGGATCCTGCACAACAAGTTCTGGAACTGGCATGTACTGTAGCAGCATACATAATTTGTGGACTAAATTCAAAAAGAAAAAGCCGTCAATAAGATACCTGATCATTTGCCAGCAACAGTCTGATATTGTTTTCTAGACTTTTCTACCCATCATCCATCATAATTAATTGTGGGAAAGTACAGAACAATTTACAGAAAGTCATTAGGTCACACACCCATATAAAAGAAAAAAAAATCTATTTAATTTCTTAGTATTTTGTCTTCTAGACAGCCATGAGATTAGAATATGGAGATTTTTTACTCAAGTCTCCCGTTTCTCAGATTTTCTTATGAGAAAAAGATCCTGGTAATCTTGTCATCTCAAGTTTCTTAAAGGGATATTTCACCCAAAAATGAAAATTCTGTCATTAATTACTCACCCTCATGTCATTCCAAACCCGTAAGACCTTTCGTTCATCTTCGGAACACAAATTAAAATATTTTTGATGAAATCTGAGAGCTTTTTCACCCTGCATAGACAGCAACATAACTGAAATGTTTTATGGCCCAGAAAGGTAGTAAGGACATCGTTAAAATAGTCCATGTTACATCAGTGGTTCAACTGTAATTTATGAAGCTACGAGACTACTTTTTGTTCGTGATACTCTCATGAATGCCCGTCAAAGACTGACACAGAAGAGAAGAAATTGTTTAATAAAGTTGTTATTTTTGTTTTTGTCTTATTTTTGTCTTTGCGCACAAAAAGTATTCTCGTAGCATCATAAAATTACGGTTGAACCACTGATGTCACATGGACTATTTTAAAGGGGTCATATGATGCGATTTCAAGTTTTCCTTTCTCTTTGGAGTGTTACAAGCTGTTTGTGCATATATAAGATCAGTAAAGTTGCAAAGACTAAAGTCTCAAACCCAAAAGAATATTCTTTATAAAAGTTAAGACTCTTTCACACCTTCCTAAAATTCCTCATTTAAACATGTCCCCACAAATCTACATCAACGTGTGGGAAGATTTGTATAACACTACCCAAATGTTTATGCAAAGAAAGAAGGCGTAACTTTTATTCTCGCTGTAGTATTGTTGCCATCACCATGTCATGGAGATGCTGTATGCTTCCAAATATTGTAAGGGGCGTAACATTTCTGTCACATGCTTGAGGTATTTGGCCAATCACAATGCACTGGATAGCTAGCCAATCAGAGCACACCGTGCTTTTCAGAACGATGAGCTTTGTAAAAATCGACGCATTTCAGAAAGGCGGGGCAGAGAGGAGCGACAATAATGTACTGTATGTGGAAAATAATGTTTTTTTAACCTTAAACCGCATAAACACATTACATTACACCAAATACACAAAATAACGTTATTTTTAGCATCGTCATATGAACCCCTTAATGATGTCCTTACTACCTTTCTGGGCCTTGAATGTGGTAGTTGTATTGCTGTCTATGCAGAGTCAGAAAGCTCTCGGATTTCATCAAAAATATCTTAATTTGTTTTCCGATGATGAACGAAGGTCTTAGGTCTTAGGTCTGGAACGATTTGAGGGTAATTAAAGATTATCCCTTTAAGAGATCTCAACAAAAGCTGCAATAAATAGTCAGATCTCAAACATTTCTCAAACTTTCTCCCAAAACAAAATGATCTGCACTCTTGACAGTTACTGTATGCCAAGCAATTAATCTCATTGCTTTTATTTCTACGTATTTCTTTTAAGGATCTTCTTCTTCTAAGATTCCTGAACTATGTAAGAACAACCTCTGAGCAATAAAATTTTCCTAATGTGCAGGAAGAGAAAAAAAAACAGCTAAATTAACAGCTAAGATAACGGCTGTTTCATGAGAATCTCATTGTTGTCATCATCTGAAAGTTTTAGATAGTGTTTCCCGTTCGTTACGTCTTTAGAGTTTTACGGGAAAAAGGAGGAGTCAATAAAATGCAGTATTAGTCTTCTTGTGATGTCACTTCTCAGCCTTGTGCCTCTTGTGCACATTTTCCTGTGTTTTCATTGCTCTGGGGTCTCAGTCTGTTCCATTTTTTGTTTCGGCCCTTTAAATTTAATTGCACATAAAGTCATTCACAGCTCAAATTGCCACTTGTTTGGGTGAGGCAGAACTGGCACTGCCCTCTTACTACACTAACTCACACACCACTGAATAAACCAACATTTAGACTACGAAGTGCCACCAAAACAAACTTTCACATTTGAAAATGGGCCTAGTCTCCATTTGACGAGTTGTTACTGAACGATTTGTTATATTGGTTCACTTCTGCTACTTCAGACCAATCTTTTTATCCTCAGCAAAGCTTTTGAAATAGATCTGGGGTAAAATTCAAGAATACAGTTTCTGAAATGTATCTGAAATTTTATGCACCCTTAAAATCTTCTTGATTTAACTGCAGACATTATACGGTGGGATCACAAGGGTTACATCCAATAATGACAAGTAATGTCTTAACTATGTCAAAACCAGTTAGGATGGACAAACTTTACAGTCTTGAAGTATTTCCTTTTTTTTGTTAGAGTTCAAGTTTTCATTTTAGTTTTTTTTTTTTTAGAAGTTAACAAAATAGCTACTCTTATCAAGGCAAAAGCTTGTCATTAAAAGCATATTGTTGTCTTACCCCAAGTCACTATGGTCAGCCTACAATAATGATTTAAATTCAGAGCTGTTGGATTCAATATGGCAGAAAATTTTTGGCATCAACCATTCATCCTTACAAGTTTATCTCATTAGGACTTTCTTCTTGCTAGCAACTCTTTAATTTTATGTTTAAACCACAGATGTTGATAAAGAGCCCAGAATTCTGTAGTATGTCTAAAGAAGGATTTCTATAAAAAGTTTTACCAGACTCTGGTTAAGCTCAGGCACTTAAACTATTAAAAACTATTTATTTTAAGACAATTAAGAAAATTAACAGCATGCCTAACAGGATGGGCAGAAACAGCTAGACTGAGAGTTTGCTTATCGTCAACCTAAAGTTGATTTTTCTTTTATATTTTGAAATTTGGATATTGCCATACTAATTTCCAAAAAAAATTAATCAAACAAATAAAATGTTACACAGTGAAACTAGCCAACTAATAAAACCATCCCCCAAAAAGAAGAAAAACCAATAATACTTACTGATGTTTGTGTTGTTTTCCTGCTAAAGTGATGTCACTTCCTGGATTAAGGAACTGGCTTTTGTTAAAGTGATATTGCAAAAGACAGAAAAAAAATAAAATAAAAAATAAAATCGATTTCATGTTTTGAAACACATTGATTAGATAAAGGAAAAAATTATTATGTCTGGAAAATCTCCTAATAAATAGCTGTTTTTCATGTTAGAAGTTGTGATGTGGCAATAATGGCGACATCCACTCAAAACAAAGTCGTAAAATTATTCACTCCTTTGGTGGTATAAAATAAATAATAAATAAAAGAAATAATGGATAAAATAAAACTAACCAATATGACTTGAATCTTTAGAAATTGTGGGTTCAATGTTTTATTCCATGTATTAAATACAAAATTATAGTGCATACTAGGAATGTCCAGTATGCAGTTGTGATGGCTACTTCAGCAGGTGGCATGATCAAATTAATCACTATGGTGAGACAAAAATCATAACTTCAGCACCACAGTGAGTTGATGTTCAACATCAACAGTGCAGTTGAGCTGGTCTGCATTCACTCTCTGTATCCACATAACCGCTCTCAAACTAAGAGAGCAATGATCTCACTGCAGCCTTTCCGGTGTAATACACCAGTGCCATCCATCACAAGGATAAACAACCATTAATGCGCCATATCACTGGGTCTGTGAAATGTTGTATGAGTGACACCGTTTGGAAGTTCATGGAGTTCATTGACAAAAAGGTGTGTTGTGCAATCTCTGGCAGTTTAAATGTGTCTTTACTTTCTCACAGTTTTTGATGAGTTGGAAAGTGAAGAAAAGCTGGGTTTAAGCCAAAATTGATAGACCATTTGCATTACCATTCAAACTGGGCCATTGTATTGAAAATCTGATTTACTTTTTAGAATGAACCAAACACCCCATTTAAACATTCTTTTAATGTTAGGGTTAAGGTCTGGGGAAGGTTGTGGGTTATTTCTGTTCTACCCATGTTGGACGCACATCCTGTAGTTATTACCTTGTTCTGCCTGACAAGATATACAACCCATGTTGTAAATTTAAAGATTATAGTTTACATTATTGATAGGTCATCTTGAGCTCGTAGGTCAGATTTTCAGAGAACCCCCTCAGATTTTTAAGCCAAGTGGATTCACAACATTCAAACAAAATTATAAATGATAATTTAAGTAAGCTGCATGATTGTCATATTGTAGGTCAAAAAAGTGTTGTCAGAAATCATCCAAATTTGGTCAGGCAATCTAGTCACACCCTACAGTTTATTTATATAATGTTACTATATTATATTTCTTATACATTGTCTTCAGTTAAATGCCCGCTAAAAATGTTCATTATAATGTACAAAACAATCGCCCTAACAACAAGGTGAACACTGCAATAATATTAAACAGATAGTTCACCCAAAAATGAAAATTCTGTCATTAATTACTCACCTTCATGTCGCTACAAACCCGTAAGACCTTCGTTCATCTTCGGAACACAAATTAAGATATTTTTGATGAAATCTGAGAGCTTTCTGACCCTGCATAGACAGCAATGTAACTGAAATGTTCCCAGGCCCAGAAATGCAGTAAGGACATCAGTAAAATAGTCCATGTGACATCAGTGGTTCAACCGTCATTTTACGAAGCTATGATAATACTTTCTGTGTGCAAAGAAAACAAAAATAATGACCTCATTTAATGTTATTAAATGTATGACCCATGCAAATGAGAGAGCAAGTGAAATGAGAGAAATTAAAATATTGCTGATTTTGGTATGGCAATGGTGAATATTAGAAATGATCAAACAACATGTTGCAATTGACCAATCAGAATTTAATATTACAGTTTATATTCGTGTGGGAATTGCTCCTACATAACACTTTGGACGACCCAAGTTCAAAGTCCTGCTCATGGTCCAGTCAAAGAGTCATCAATCCATCAAAAAGCAGTTGGGCTCAGACTACGATATTTTAGCTTCGAACTATGAATCCATCCAGTCGGAGGATATCAAACATTTGATATTTTGAGTTGATTTTAGAGCCCATATTGTTCTATTGTGAGACGCATGATTCTATGTGAGTTTGTTGTGTTCATAATGACTTGAAAGTCTGGTCTGTGATCCTCAACCATTTAGACTACAATGCCTAGTTTGTCCTCTTCCTCTCCATTTACAAATTCGGCCAGTGAATGACGCCTAGTGTTAAAAATCTGTTCAAATTTTAAAAGTAGTGTGTATTTCAGCCTTAAGTGAACAAGGACCACCAATGGTGCCCCTCAGAAAAAATTATATTAACCAATTCTAATCTACCAATAGGGACTAACCGGATCATCCTAACCAGCTCAATTGAACTGTCTAGTACTGTCTAGTTGAACAGGAGTGGCAATATGGTACTTTTCTGTTTGTTTTAGAGATACATTTTAATGTAGCACTGAGTGTTTGTTCATATACAAAGCATAAGTAGCTGTATATTTCGTGCCTTCAATGTTTAAAGCAATTACAAGTTTCAGAAACCCACCACTTTAAGTGGTCAATGCTTTATTTACATACTAAAAGTCTTTTCACCACTGATTAAAAAAAGGATGTCTCGACCCAAATCTACACTCATGATGTATTATATATCTGATCGAATGACCCAAAGTTTAAACATGAAGTATTTTACTCATACTGTTAGTAGTGACCACTCACACGTCACATAAGTAGTCTAGCAGTCGGTGTCAACAATGACACTAAGCTGGTAATCCCTTTAACTCTGGTGTGGCATCTTAATGAACCTCTAATGCATCTCAAATGTATCTTTTATCTGCCGAAGACCTTCAGCAGTAGCAGACAGCCACAAGTTTGGGCCCAAAGAGGCCAGATGTGTAAACACAGTAGTGTTCTACTCCCGCTGTACATTCACCATCATCCTGTGACTCACCCCCCGAGACCTCCGACATATAAACAATTATCAGAATGTTAAGTTTATTTGACGGTACTCTCGTCTCTCTGTGGGATGCTTGTTGGGGTTTGAACTCAAATTTTGTTTGTTTTTGAATTTGTTTTTGCTGTCACAGGAAGTATTGCTTAACCATTTTTGGAAATGGCAGATTTCACTTTTTCCTGTTGTGACGTTCAAGATGCCAAAGAAGAATTTCCGCATTTCCTGAGAAAATAAGAGAGAGAGAGAGGATCTCGTAAAAAGCAAAAAGTTTTATGACTCATATTTAATTATTATTTGGGGTACATTATGAAAAGAAACTTTGTAGCCCAGCATGTACTGTAAATAAAAAGGTCACCTGGTTCTATTTCCTTATTCTATTCAAATATCCATTTATCCTAGTTAAAAAATTATAATAATTCCAACAAAACAAAAATAAACGGCAATATACTTGGAAATATAATACGATTATATTTTATACAAAATTATATTCATATAATACATTTCCATGTATGGGATACTAGTGCTTATATTTTTCAGCATTGTACATATTTTGCAGTTTAGGCTATATGCATGGACTGTGTATGGTTATACATATAAAAATATATAAAAATGAAGACAATAACTGCACTACATTTTTACATGCAGTAGGTTTATTGAAACCTTTCTTTAATTAACTTCTGTTTCATGAGTTAATGCATGGGTTTACATAAAGCTGAACACATATTCATAAACTTATCTCACTTTCTTTTTTACATAGTAACATTTCATATATGTGATGTGATTATAAGAAAAAATGTTTACTGAAAACAAATCTTAAAATTTAATTTTTCTTGGACTATTGGATGTCTTGTTATCTGAACATGTTTAAATAGTATATACTGTGTATATATATATATATATACAGGTGCGTCTCAATAAATTAGAATGTCGTGGAAAAGTTCATTTATTTCAGTAATTCAACTCAAATTGTGAAACTCGTGTATTAAATAAATTCAATGCACACAGACTGAAGTAGTTTAAGTCTTTGGTTCTTTTAATTGTGATGATTTTGGCTCACATTTAACAAAAACCCACCAATTCACTATCTCAACAAATTAGAATATGGTGACATGCCAATCAGCTAATCAACTCAAAACACCTGCAAAGGTTTCCTGAGCCTTCAAAATGGTCTCTCAGTTTGGTTCACTAGGCTACACAATCATGGGGAAGACTGCTGATCTGAAAAATCTATAATTTTGACCCATACAATGTATTTTTGGCTATTGATATACAAACATCCCCCAGTGACTTACGATTGCTTTTGTGGTTCAGGGTCACATATATTAATGCTATATATTTTTCTGTGTGTCCCTGTGTCCACAGTACTACTGTGCCCCTGTGCAAATGTAAAAGTACATGCATAATAAGAATTTTAAGATACTGAGGCACCAATACATGGACATATCATACCAGTCTGATTACAGCAACCTGGAGTTCTGTTTTAGTCGTTATTCAATCTTAGCCGTTAGATCCATTCACATTACCTGCACTGCTAATCATCGCCTCATAGACCTGGATTGCATTTCAAAACAGAATCAGGCCGGGGTCAGTTCAAGGTATGAGCTGCCCTTATATGTTCAACACATTGAACTGAGACATAAAATGACTAAGATCTAGTTAAACTTAAGGAAGAATGAGAAAATAAGTGTGGGAAGGATGGTGATTTGGAATGACGCAAAGTCATCTGTCTTGTCTATTAACTAAGGTCATGATCCTCTTAATAATGGAGCTTTATAATAAAAATCAGAGTTTAAAATACGCATAGAGTGCCAGCACATGACTGATGTGGCATATCCATTTTCATCCTCACTTTCTACCTTTTATCATTGTATTATTTTCCCTAAAAGCAAATGCCTCGTTCGCATTTCACTTTAGCTACACTCTTGATAAATTACCCATTTGCCCGGATAAAATCCATAATGTTGCACCACTTGATGAGAGATGGGATCAATTTCAAAGGTAGACCTGGTCATTAGCTTCACCTAGGGCAATAAATACAGCTCATGATCTCCAAAGAGAGGAGACCTTAAGACCACCACATGTTGAAATACTAACTTGCAGCACAGTTTGTTTTTCCTTTGATATGTCTATTGCATTGCATGACAGAAATCGTATGCAAAATTACATTTCTGAGTGATATCCATCTGTATTAGTATAGAGATTCTGTACAAAAAAAAAAAGTGGTTTGGTTGGTCTCTGGAGCATCTGCATATTTTACACTGCAATGACACCTCAGATGTTGCGGCACATGTGGGGAAAACAGCGTGAACGATTAGCTTTGATTGGAAACGTGAAACTAATTATGCAACATTTGTGTTTGATTGCTTCAAACTATGTTTGTGTGATTGATTGTGATCGGTGCTGGTATTTCTGCTCATGTTACACACATCTGATTTAGCGATTAATCAAAGAGAAATTTTAGATCAGCATCGGCTTCCAAGACACTGACACAATTAGTGAGTGAATCAAGTCTTTAAGTAATAACCTCATTTGGTGTTACAATGAGGCTTTTACATATTAAAGAAATCACATTAATCAGTCATTCGGTGTGTTTAGCTACTTACGATTGACAACATTAGGTCACAAACCCTTAAACTGCCGTATTTCCTATGTGAAATGATAGTTTATACAGTAATCTGCTATTCTGCAAAAAAAAAGAAAAGAAAAAAAAGTGAGAGCGAGAAAAAAGCAGGCGGATTAGAAATGAAAACATCTGCACTTTGAGAGAACTGGCATTGAAATAAATTTTTGGGACAAAGTGGCAAACATAAATCTTCAGTGTTTTTGGCCACTGATGTTTGATTTGACTCGGCGCCTATAAATACGAATACCAAACTGTATAATCTGTCAGTCAGTCTGATTTAGTTAAGATCATAGATTGTTTTTAGTATGAAATGCATGATGTTTTTAGCTTTTTGTGATGTTGGATACGATCCGTGCTCCCCACCGTCCTCTCCCACAGCACAGCTGAGGAATATCTAACACCGTCTCCAGCCTCCAGGAATGCCGACCCTCTCAGGTTATGACCCGTAATTAATTGTTTTGAGGGTCTGGCTCCGCATTTGGCAGAGTTGCAGTATGGGAAGGGTATAGCGTTCTCTCGAATCTCCAAATTAGATTTTCACTGTTGTTCCAGCGGTCACCGGGCAAATTGAGAGAATCCCCCTCCAGCCTTGAAAGCGGTCGATAACTTAACGAGACGGCTAGCTATGACACGCAAACATCTGAGACGTGAATGTAAAACACACCGTCTGATGGACAGCCGGGGCTCATGAGTGATAAAGTGCAGGCTGGGGGTTTTGGAGTTGCGTTTTTCTATTTATTTTTGGAAGGTGGGCAGCCAAGACAAATGTTCTAAATGCAACTCAATCTTAAAAATTCAAGGGAGCTTTTGCTTGGACCATCCGAAGCAAACCGTACAAGCCTCGGGCCAAAATGTAAATCTCTCTCTGACAAATAGTCAGTGAGTCATCGTTTCTCAGCACATAGTTAGCATGGGTTTTGATTGGCAAACGCATAATTGTAGTAATTTAAATGTTTCCTACTAACAGACGCTTGAGAAGCTGGCTCTCCGATTTAGTTTCTCTAAACGAAGATGGATACGTTACATCCATGTACACGCATTCACTCTTAGATTAGCACTCAGAAATGCATAATTCTATTTTCGAATCATATTTTAGCCCTACATCTGACTTACATGCTGGTATGGCATAACTTGCAGCAGAAAGCGTCTGATTAGCTCTTGTGTTGTGGTTACAATCAGCCATTGGCAACAGAACATCGTAAACAAACAAATTAGACCTATTATGCGTGCATATGTGTTGCGTATATGTGCGTCTATGTTAATCCAGCCTTGGATGAGGTGGAGATCTCATTCCTTTGTGCTGTGTTCATAAACCAAGCCTTGCATGCTGAGGGAGGGACGCTCTCTTCGCATGGCACGAAAGCCTATTGTCTGTCCCCCACCTCTGAAAGAGGCCGACAGATAACCTCCCCGCACACGAAAGTCATGTGCGATGGGGGCAACACAAGCCTGGCGTGATTCCAAGCTTGCCTTTGGGCCGCTTCAGCCGCCCGCGAACACAAAGGCAGATCAGCTGCGATAAAAGCGATGACAAGTGTTGTTTTTGTTTTGGTTTTGAGTGGCCGCCCTCACTGATTCATCCTTGACCCTTGACTCATCAAAAAACGGCTCTTTCAATCAAAACCGACAGAAATGGATCCAATCACTCAGTATAGTGGCCGTTTCAGAGGATACCATCAGCGCAAATTCCTCTAGTGGTGTCACTCTACGACCCGCATAAGGGGGCTGAGTTTTTTCACTGCCTGTGAACAAAACAGATGGAGAATGATGTTTTCCTTTTCATGCCCAGGCTCTGAAACCCCATCCCTCTTTTCTGGTGTCAGTCGTTCTTTTGTCGGCCAGCGGTGGCTCCCTTTGACACGGCGGTGGTTATCCTCTTGATACCCGACTCCAAAGAGTTGACTCGTCCGGCTCTTTGTTCTCCGTTCACCTTTACGCCAGCCTGTATGACTGCCAGGCTCCGAGACCCCCATCCAGCTGCCTGCTGGAAAAATTCATGTTAAGCTGGTACAGTAGCTGGTGATTAGCTGGTCCAAGATGATTACTATCTGGCCAGATTTGGTCATTAACTGGCTCAAGCTGCTCATTAGCTGGTCTAAAAAGATTAGTGACTTTGTGAGTAGCAAGTCAAGCTGGATATTAGCTTGTACAAACCAGTCAATAACTGGTCCAGTTTAGTCATTAGCGGTTTCAAAATGGTTATTAACTCATTCAGTTTGGCCATTAGTTAGGCCAAACTGGTCATTAATTTTAGTTTTGTCATTAGCTTGTTCAAAATTGTCATTAAAGGGGCCTAAGCTGGTTATTAACTGATCCAGTTTGGTCATTAGCTGGTCCAAGATGATTGCTACCTGGCCATATTTGGTCATTAACTGGCTCAAGGTTCTCATTAGCATGTCTAAAATGGTTATGAACTTGGTGAGTAGCTAGTCAAGCTGGACATTACCTCGTACAAACCAATCAATAACTGGCCCAAGCTGGTAATTACCTGGTCTAGTTTGGTCATTAGCTTGTTCAAAATGGTCATTAACTGGCCTAAGCTGGTTATTAACGGGTCCAGTTGCGTCTTTAGCTGGATCAAACTGGTTATTAGCTTACCCAGTTTGTTCATTAGCTGATTAGGGCTGGTTATTAGCTGGTCTGTAATGTTTATTAACTGGTTAAATGTGGTCATTAGCTGGTTAAGCTTAAGGTGGTCAAGCTGTTTTCTGCAACATGATGGCTGTTTTACCAGGTAATAACTCATTTACAACACTTAAAAACATCTTGAACCAGCTAATAACCACCTAAAAGTTAGCTAATAGTGAGGTTGGACTAATTAATAACTAGTGTAAACCACTTAAAAATCACTTAATGCCTACTTTGGATTAACTAATAAGCAGTTTTGACCAGCTAGAAACCAGGTTGGACCACTTAAAAGCCAACTAATAACTAGTGTAAACAACTTAAAAATTAGTTTAGACTATCTAATAACATCTAAACAAGTCTGGAGCACTTAAAAACTATCTGTTCCAAAAAACAGCTACCAGTTTAAGCTAGATTTTCCAAATGTAACAGGAGGAGGAAAAACAAGCAAAGTTATGTATTTGTTGTTTGTGTTCAAAGCTCTCACCTACATAACATGGAATGGAGGTCACGTCATCTGTTCCACTTTACTCCTCAAATCCACCATCTCAAACACACGCGCACACACACACATACCTGAAGAACAGACACAAAGGGTGCTCTCCAGGCCTCCCAGATACAGGATACCTCTTGCAGATAATTCCTGTGGGATTTTGGCTCATTCCAAGGCTTCTTTTCAGGCATTTCTTGAGGGATTCTCACAGAAATCTTCTGAACTCGCTAGATAAGAGGCACCTCTCCTGACAATCCAAAGTGGCAGCCATGTCACGGAATGAGATAAGGATTGTGGAGATGTTGCTGAGAGACAGTGTTGAGTGATGGCATTGACTAGAGAGAGCTAAACACTTCACAGCTCTTTTAACCACAAGACTCCAGCATTTCAACTGATTTTCACAATGAGCACATTGTCAAGGAATGTCTATCATTATTCATCTCTTACAATGCACAACTAGCAACCATTTAAGAATGTCAAAAGTTATGTAATAATAAAAGATATGGATGTTACCTATTGGGTTTCTCGGGATAGTGGATGGAGAGACTCAAAGGGAACTTGATTTAAAAAAAAAACGTATATTATTGTAAATATTATATTATTTATTACACAAACCCCACTTAAAAATGACTAAGTCATAATGGGATCTTCACAACATTGTTTAGACACTAAAACACCCACTTCTAAATAAAACCATTCTCTACTTAGCAGTGAAGAAACTTTCAGTTTATCTTGACCACATCTGGAACAAGATGCTATCACAAAATATTAATATCATGACATTCCTCAGATACACCATTGTTATTTCTGTTCATCTAGTCTTTGAGGCAATAAAACAAGCTTGCCAATTCCCTAAAAGACCCATTAATCCTTAATACACTTTTTGTATGAGCTGTTTTATGGAGTCTGGAGCGGATTCA